GGGAAAAGGTGCCACACAATGAATAGAGTGCAGGACCTGAAGTTAGGAAGACTTGAATTCAAATCTGGCTTCAGACACTTACTAGCTGTGTGACCCTAGGCAAGTCACTTAACATCTGAGCATCAGTTTCTTCGCTGAAAAAGGGAGGTAATAATAGTGACTACCTCCCAAGGTTGTTGCAAAGATAAAATGAGATAATACTTCTACAGCACTTTGTAAACTTTAAAACACCATATTAATGCTAGTTTATTATTATTATTGTTATCATCATTATTGTTGTTATTGTTTTCTCCCCCATAAAGATAATCTTTAAGTCTTTAGAGCATTGGCTGTGATGAGTTTGCTCTCTCCAAAAGAATCCTAAACCCCAGAGAACATGCTCTTAGAACACAGAGCAGTCAGTCACCAACAATTATTCTGAAGCTTTAGGTCTACTTTTAAAAAATTAACTTCCTGCTCAAAGGGCAGCATCTCCATGAGCCGTTATTATTTAGGATTAGAAAATTCTTATAACTCCTTGATCAGTATCCCATTGGCAAGCTTCAGCCATTCAGCACACAGGCTAACTTCCCATAAAATACAGTATGCCATTAAGGATTGAGTCTTTTTCTTAAACTCCAGTATTCTTTTGCTGGCCCATGAAATTGAATGGGTGGGCGAAAGTCAAAAGCACAAAAATCTCTAAGTAGAGCTATTTGGAGGCATGTCCCTTCCCTTCAGTCTTTAATTTAAAACTTCTGCCTTTATTATGTATAATGTATTATATATGTAACCAGTCTAATCTTTTCCTGCTTTGGGCAACACCATACATCTTTATCTCTATCTTTTTGTTTTGTTTTGTTTTGTTTTGTTTTTCTGCATAACTGAATGAGAGACTAAGAAGACAAGGAAAGGAGTAATTATAGTAATGCTAAACCAATTCACTTATTAGGGATCGGATTTATTTTTCTTTTCACCTAGAAGTTGGAGGAATATATAAGTGATATGTATTGTTTTACTTTGTGAATCAAGGTACCAGGACATGCTCAACCATCTGGTCTGACTCAGGTCACCCTTTGTCTGCATTAGTGTATTCTCCAAAGTGGCAACAGTAAAATATTTAATATTGATTCACAATCCAATTCCATAGTCTTCAAATTAAAAAAAAATTGAAGCATAGATAGCTTAAAAAGTAAAGTTCAATGAAAAGACAATCTCAGTTTTGGTGTTGCACTTTGTTTCTCAATATGGTTGGGTGTCATTTAGGTCAAGAAAGTGAATACAAAAAATCTATACAAAACCATAGGTTACTGTAATTAAAAATGACTATAAAAATTTATCCAAAGATTGCTTTAAATAGGGTATATTTAATATAGAATATGTATTGTATTGTATATCATAATTTTATATGTATATATGTATATATATATACATATATATATATATATAATATATTTAAGTAGTGATGGTTGACTCATAGAATGTTAGAGTAGTATAGACCTTAGAAATAATCTGGTTCAGGCCTTTCATTTTGTTGATGAAGAGACAGGCTCAAAATTGATGTCTGAACCAAGGTATTGACTCCTCAGTTCTATGATCTTTCCCCTAGACCAAGTTATACAGCAAAGGAGCATACTTCTGAAGTGTTCGAAAGGACCTCCAAAAGATGTTGACAGAAAATTTAGGTCAATTGAAAGTAGCACTCGGTGCACACAAATATTCATAGGAACACATCCGCTATGTAAAAGTGAAGTGAGCCTATACCTCCAAATATTATGAAGGTAACAAAATACTTTGAATGAACTAGGAACCTAGTTTTAAGACTTAAAGGTGAAATTTAATAATTTGCTAAAAATCATCTTTGGAAGAAGTTGGAAGTTAGTTCCTGGTGAAAAAATCTGAATACATACCTGAAGCTTTTCCTGATCCCCCAAGCCGGGTAGTGCCCTCCCAAACTCCCTTTCATTTAACTACTTTATTTGTATTTTTATTTATCCTCTTTATATTTATTATGTGCATACATTCACATCATACACGTCTCCTCCATTAGAATGTAAGTTCCTTTAGAGCAAAGATCATTTCACTCATTATATTTGTCTATTTATATACCTATCACTAAAAACATTGCCTTGCATGTAGTAAGCATTTAATAAAAGCTTGTTGATTCATTGATTGAAATAAGATCATTGTAACCAGACTGTTAATTGAAAGAAAGTACCTTATGTAATGATAAGGCTGAAGATACTACCATTAGACACTGGAGGTAGAGATGCAACTTGTAGGAATTTAGTAGGCCCCAGGCCAGATTAAACATGTCTCAGTCTATGGTAGAGACATAGGCACTAGCCTGGCACAGTGGAGCAAGCACTAAATTTGTTACCAATAGAGAAATGTGTTTATGAATAAGTCACTTAACCTCTCAGAGACTGGATTGCCTCATTTACGAAATGAAAATGAAAATAATATTTGGACTGCCTATTTCACAGGGTCATCTTGATAAAGGTGCTTCGAAAACCTTAAAGCACTTTCATAAATTTGATTTGTTATCAGAGAGAGTATGTGGATAGTGGTATATGGTATTTATTATCAGAGAGGGAATGTGGTGTAGTAGATAACAGTGCTAAAGCCAGAGACAGGAAGACCTTGTTTCAAATCCCATTTCACTTACTAGCAAAAAACTCTCTAGGTCTCATTTTCCTCATTTGCAAATTGAGAAGGTTGGACCCAATAGTCTCTAAAGTCCCTTGAAGCCACTAAAACACATGCTCTGGGGCTACTTTCCCAACCCACACTGGCATTGACAGACTCCCTAGAAGGTAGCTGCTACATCTCCCCTCATGGGAGTGGGGGAGCAGGTCTTTTCTAGTATTAGCACTATAGCTCAGAAGCCCATGTCAGTGACTTTTCCTTCATGATTATGTTGATATCAATTAATAAGCTAGACTTAACTAACTTGTATAAAAATATCACTATAGTTGACACAAAATATGTCCCCCTAACATCTATGACAAACTCTCCTATTATTACACATGGAGTTTAGGTACAAGAAGGCTTAAGCTTAGAAAGCACATGCAGCAAAATGTTAACTCCTAGCTGTTAGAGGCCCTTTTGTCAGAGTCCTCAATATGTTCCCTTAGATGTGGAACAACTTTTCCGCTGGGTACCTTGTAGAACTTTAAATCTTCCTCTCCTTCTCATATCCAATCTGTCTTTTGCTCCCCAGTTGTTGTTGTCCCAAAGACATTACTGTTTCTACAATGAAAAAGTCCAAATCCCTCAAGAAAAAGTCTGAAACCCTCTCTTATGTTCACAAAGTCCTCCTCTTGCTAAGGGAGCAGAGGATGAGGTGCTTCCACCCCTCACCCCAACCAACTCCTTTTCAAATTGTTTGGCTGAAAGGTCCTACTACTAAGCTTCTAAGACACTCCAACCCTTAGGATTTGAACTACTCTGCTATTTTACAGAAAATCTGCAAAGCATAACCAAGTCCCTCAGACAATGTGAACAAAATTCCTGGAATAACTATTAGAAATGTTTTTAGATTGATTAATTGAATAATTTCCAAGGCTTTATTCACACCTCTACTTGATTCATTGAGATATGTTCTCATCTGATAAAGTATCTAGACTAACTAAGGTTGGTTGACTATGATCCCAACCCTTATATCATGATACAAAAATAAAGTTAGCAACAACATGTGGATCAGTAATTGCTGCATCAGTGTCTTGGGTCACAGTGTGTCTACCTTCTAACCTGTAGCATTTCAAACAATGTTCTACCAGACCGAGAGCTGGCCTCCAGCAGTTAGGGTTCCTATGCCAATAGGATCAGTTGGAACTACTTTCCCCTCCACACATACACCTTAATCCCTGTTTTTAAAGGAAAGCAATGGCATTTACTATGTTCTAGTCACTATGCTAAACTCTGGGAATGCAAAAAGAAAAGCAGTCCCTACTGTCAAGAAGCTCACAGTTTAACAAGGAAAGAAAGTACAATAAAAAGGAACTCAAAAGTAGAGAAAGAGAAGATGGAGGTATCCAGCATAGGGAAAGTCCAAAGAGTCAGGAGGGAGTATAGGAGGGAGAAAAATGAAGACAAGGCTAGTGGGAGCATCCTTCTTAAAATGTAAATCCTAAGGTCTTAAGAAAAACTAGTCAATCAAAAGGAGAGGCCTCAGGGCTAGGGAATACTTTCAATGTTAGAAGTCTAGGGTGAAGTGAAACTTGCAGGGTAAAGAGGTTTCTAGGACAGGGAAGAGAAAGTTTCAACATATTTCTTTGTCTTCTCTCCTCTACCACTGGATAGCTTTTTGAGCTGCAGTATCTCCTCTATAAAATGAAAGGATCAGCCTAGATCAGGGGTGGAGAACCTTCAGCCTCAAGGTCACCTGTGGTCCTCTAGGTCCTCAAGTGCAGTCCTTTGACTGAATCCAAACTTCGCGGAACAAATCCCCTTAATAAAAGGATTTGTTTTCTAAAATGTGGACTCACTCAAAAGGCCACACCCAAGGACCGAGAAGGCCACACGTTCCTCGACCCTGGCCTATATGATTTCTAAAGTCTCTTCTAGCTTTCATATCCTGTGAAAGATGTCCAAATAGGTAGAGAGCTACTTGACTACTTTAGATGTTTAATTTTTCATAAAGATGTAAAAGGGAAAATTATTCTGCGGTATCTCCAAAGTAGGAAAGATGATCAAGAATATAAATGACAGTATCCAGATGGTGCCACTCAAGTTATCCTGACACATGTGTGTGTGTGTGTGTGTGTGTGTGTGTGTGTGTGTGTGTGGCATAAATGAAGCATTTCCCAGAAATATGAAGAAAAAGAAGAATTTTCCCTTATACTATCACCCTGTATGAGATGTTCCAAATGGAAAGGAAAGTATATCAGCCAGCACATAGACCTTAATTGTGATTATGTTTTATTACTACTTAGCCTATTAAGTGCTTAAATTACCAGATAAGAGAATCTATGTTTCTAATAGTGGAAAGTGTGTTAACAGTATTCTCACTCTTTCAGCCCTGTTCCAACAATCTCGTGGATGAAGGTTAATGGTTATATTCCAAGCAAAGCACGTCTGCGGAAATCTCAAGGAGTGCTGGAAATACCAAATGTGCAACTGGATGATGCAGGGATATATGAATGTAGAGCTGAAAATTCACGTGGAAGAAATTCTTTCCGTGGACAATTACAAGTCTATAGTAAGTATGGTCTGCAATGATGCAGAGGCACTCTTCCCCTCAACACACGTCCTTTTTTATATCTCAGTTTAAATGCAGATAAAAGTGATGTATTATATGTTCTTTCAGGACAAGACTGTCTTTTTTTTTTGTATCCTCAGTGCTTAACACAGTGCCTAGAACATAGTAGGTACTTAATAAATATTTGATTGATTTAGAAAATTCATAGTTACTTGATGCCAAGGATATAATTTGCTTTATATTTGTTTTCATTCTCAGGTACTCTATAAGTTAACTTTACATGGAATATTGCTCTAAAATGATAACGAATGTAAAAATCTTTATAAATCACAACATTTTTCCTTAAAATGAAGGGATATTTTTTTTTAGGATCCTAAACTATTGCCTATTTTTTGGTTGCATTTATTAACTATTTTGGGCTTCTAGGTTAAAGGACTGCAGTGTGATAAGTGATTATCTAGTAGCCTAAAGCTAAAATAGCTCCTGAAGGTATCAAATTTAAAATCCACCCTTGGAAAATCTGGCATAAGAGGGAAGGGAGTGCCTGCTATGTACTGTACTACACTGTACTAAGAGCTTTACACATATTATCTCATTTAATCTTCACAACAACCCTTTAACCCCATTTTATAGTTGAGAAAACTGAGGTAAAGAGAGGTTAAATGACTTGCCCAGGGTCACACAGCTTATAAGTGTCTGAAGTCGGATTTGAACTCAGATATACTACTATACTACTATCCACTATACTACTATCTCTAAACAGAAAACATTTTTGTTTCTGTTTTTAGTCTGGTCTATTATTTCTTCAATGTAGGAAACTCCTACTATAGAAACACTCCCCTAGAAATTGTAACTTATGCTCTTTTTTCTTCTTTTTTATTAATTTGTTTTGATTTATCAACAATCACTTCCATAAGCTTTTGATTTAAAATTTTTCTCCTCCTTCCTCCCCCCTCCCTCTCCAAGATGGCACACAATCAGATATAGGCTATGCATGTACATTCCTATTAAACATATTTTCACATTAGTGATGTTGTAAGGAAGAATTAGAACCAATAAGAGGAACCACCAGAAAGAGGAAACAAATCAAAACAGAAGAAAAAAAATAGCAAATAGTATGCTTCCATCTGCATTCAAACGCCATGGTTCTTTCTCTGGATATGGATAGCATTTTTCGTCATGAGACCTTTGGAGATATCTTAGATCCTTGCATTGCTGAGAAGGACTAAGTCTATCAACGTTAGTCCCCCAACAACATGACTGTTACTGCATACAACATTCTCCTGGTCCTGCTCACTTCACTTAGCATCAGTCCACACAAATTTTTCTAGGTTTTTCTGAAGTCTACCTGCTCATCATTTTTATAGCACAATAGTATTCCATTACATTCGTATACCACGACTTGTTCACCCATTCCCCAATTGATGAGCATCCCTTCAATTTCCAATTCTTTGCCACAACAAAAAGAGCTGCTATAAATATTTTTGTAACTGTGGGTCCTTTTCCCATTTGTATGATCTCTTTGGGATAGAACCCTAGAAGTACTATTTCTGGGTCAAAGGGTATGTACATTTTAATAGCCCTTTGGGCATAGTTCCAAATTGCTCCCAAAATGGTTGGATCATTTCACAACTCCATCAACAATGTGTTAGCATTCCAATTTTTCCACATCTTCTCCAACATTTATCTCTTTCCTGTTTTGTCATGTTGGCCAATCTGATAAGTGTGATGTGGTACCTCAGAGTTGTTTTGATTTTCATTTCTCTAATCAATAGTGATTTAGAGCATTTTTTCATATAAATGTAATATGAAATGTAACTTATAATATATAAAATATATATAAATCATATATCACATATATGTATAAATCATATAAAATGTGACTTATAGTCTTAAGAGAATTCTCTAGAGGAATAAAAGATTAAATTATTTATTCATGTAGCTAATTGCCAGAGGTAGGCTGTGAACCCAGACCTTCCTGAATCCAGGATAGCCCCTCTATCTACTACATTAAAGTGTATACTGTAATACCACAAACCATAGCACTGAAAACCAAAATGCGGACTGTGGTATAGTAGAGAGGGAGGTTTTTCTGAAGCTAGCAAGACCCAGGTTCAAGTCCTGCTTCTAATACATGCCAGCTATGTGACCTTGGGCAAATCATTTAAACTTTCAGTACCCTATGCAACTTTCTAAGACTGTAATTTGCCAAGAAAGTTCTAGCTAGCATTAGAAGGAGATTCCACACCTGAGAGTTCCCTATATCAATAAAGTTATTGGTCTATACCAACAAATCTTTTTATTCCATTCACCACATCATTTTTTTGCAATATTTGTTACTCATTGGGGATGGGGAATAGAGGTGGGAACAGGTCCAGAATACCAGCTCCAATGCTTACTTACTACCCAGATGACTTCAGTCAAATGACTCAGCCTCTGCAGCCTTTAGTTTCCAATCCAATAAACATTTCTTCAGTGCCTACTACATGCTACACACTGTGCTGAGCACTGGGGATATAGTTAATAAAAAGAACAACAGTCCCTGCCCTCAAGGAGCTTACAATCTAATGTAGGGAGACAAAACACAAAAGGAGGCAGAAAGGGTTTGAGGAGACCAGAATACTCAGCATGGAAGCATCTTGTTCTGTGGAGTTGCAACCAGGCACAGCAGCAGATGCACAGTGGAGTGAGCCAAAAATTCCAGTTTCTGCCTTCTATAAAAGAAGGCATTGGAAGGCATTTGGTACTCCACCCTCCAGCCCTTCAATCAGAGGGGAAGGAGGCTGAGGGAGGTGGTTCAAGTCAAGATTTGAGTTAGCATCACAGTGAGGTGATGAGCTAAAGTGGGGATAATAATGCTTATGGTATGTATATCACACAATTAGGAGGCTTTTAGAAGCCTTGGTGTGCTTAGAAAATTTGAATTGTTATTATTAGTGATACTCAAAAAATCTGAAGGATACCTAAGAAATCATTCAGTAAAGTCAATGAGCATTTATTAAATGCCTACTAAGTGGCAGTCTTGGTGCTGAGTTGGGGGTAGAGGGAATACTAACAAAGGCAACAAAAGTCTCGGCTCTGGAGCAGCTCACAGTCTCACAGACTAATTGAGAGACAGCATGCAAACAATTATATAGAAACAAGATAGATACAGAATAATTAGAGAAAATCAGAGAGAAGGCACTGGCACTAAAGAATATCAGGAAAGACTTCTTGTAGGACAGTGGAAGCAAATTCAAATAGAAAAGGCGGGAATTAATCTGTGCATAAAGATCCCTGTAGGCCATATATTAATTTAGTTTATTGAATGAGATAGAGGGTATGACATGACCAGACCTGCCCTTGGAAAATAAGTCTGGGGGCTAGGTGGTGCAGTGGATAGAACACCAGTCCTGAAGTCAGGAGGACCTGAGTTCAAATCTGGCCTCAGACCAAACACTTGACACTTACTAGCTGTGTGACCCTGGGCAAGTCACTTAACTGCAATTACCTAAAAAATTAAATTAAATTAAATTAAAAAAAGAAATATAAGTCTGACAGGTGAGTGGAGGATAGAATGCAGAGGGGAGAAACTTGAGGCAATGAGACCAATAAGCAGGCTATTGTAATTATCCAGGTGTGAGATAATGAGGAGCTGTCCCCGAGTAGTGGTGGTATCAAAGGAGATAAAGGGTATTTTTAGAGAGATTGCAAGGGTAAAATCAGTAGGACTTCATAATAGGTTAGACATGATTGGAGGTGAAGAGAGTGAGGAGTTATGGTTATCAGCATAGGTGATTTGGAAAATGGTGGTACCCTTAACTAATAGAAAAGTTAGAAAGGGGGAGAATTTGGGGAAAAACAATTATGAGTTCAGTTTTTGACATGATGAGTTTAAGTTGTCTATGAGACATCAAGTTTGAGATGTCCAAAAGACTGTTGGAGATATGTGTGGAGGTCAGAACAAAGGGTATGTAGATCTAAGAAATATTGCCATAGAGATAATATTGGTTATAAGGTCTGATGAAATAGCGAAGTGAAACAGTGTAGAAGGGAAAGAGAAGAGGGATCATGACAGTATCTTGAGAAATACCCTGAGTTAGTGGGTATTGACATAGATGTCAAGTTCAGCAAAGGAGACTCAGTTCAGTTGTTGTTCAATCATTTTTCAGTCATGTCTGACTCCCGGTGACCCCCATTTGGGGTTTTCTTGGCAAAGATATTAAAGTGGTTTTCCTTTCCTTCTCCAGCTCGTTCTATAGATGAGGAAACTGGGGCAAAGAAGGTTAAGTGACTTGCCCAGGGTCACAGAGCTAGTAAGTATATAAGGGCAGATTAGACTCATAAAGAGGAGTCTTCTTGACTCCAAGCTCTGCACTCTCTCCACCATGCCACCTAGTTGCCCGGTAAAGGAGATTAGGTGTTGAGAAATGAGTAAGTCAAGGAACTAGGAAGTTAACGTGTTTGAGAGAATGTCAACATGTGTGTTAATTTATCTAGCATAAAGGCAAGCTTTCACGAGGTGAAAAAAAGGAAGAGCTAAGCACTGAATTTGTTGAGGAAAGAAGGAAAATGTCATGGAGGTCTATAAATAACAACTACCAGAATTCTAATTTTTCAAATCCATTCATCCTACAGATCAGGAAACACAAGTCCATAGAAATTAAGAAACTTGTGCAAAGTCATACAAGTAGTAAGTGGTAGGTTCAGGAGTCAAACCTAAGTCTTCTGACTTAAAATCCATCACTCTTTTCACTGTACCACATCAACAACCTTTTTTTTTCCTATAAGATATATATTCTACCAATTTTGCCATTGGAAAATAGTGTCCAGTTGTCATTTACCTCATAATCAGCGTTCTTAAACATTTAAATATACTTTCTTCAAGTAATCTCATATTTAATATATGGCTTCTACTTCTCCCTCCAATCTTATTTCTCACAGCTCAATATTCCCCAAAAGAATATTTCTATTCAAGCTAACTTGTCCTACTTAACTGTGTATTAAATTTGCTGAACGTA